ACTGGTCCTCCAGAATTGGTCAGAACCAACTGAATACCTGCTTGGAGAATAGCTTGACCCTCTGCTCTCTGTGGCAGCCCCTCAAATATTGGAAGACTGCTATCCTGTCTCTCCTGGTCCTTCTCTTCACTAGACTAGCCAGGCCCAGTTCCTGCAACCGTTCATTGTATGTTTTAGCCTCCAGTCCCCTAATCATCCTGGTTGCTCTTCTCTGTACTATTTCTAGAGTCTCAACCTCTTTTTAATAGTGTGGTGACCAAAACTGGATGCAATACTCTAGGTGTGGTCTTCCTAAGGCTTTATAGAGTGGTATTAGTACCTCTTGTGTTGTTGTGGTTAAAGCTGAAATATTCATTAACTGGTAAGATGTTGTAACATATGATTTTATGTACTATGCTTAAGTCCAATCTTAGCTGACATAGTTCAAGGTTGTCTAAGCCTAGAATCTCAAGCCTGGTGGTGTAGGGTATTCTGTTGCGAACAGAGGTGTGTAGTACTCTTCTTGTAAAATACTTCTGGACTCGCTCAATTGTATTTATGTCTGATATACAGTGCGGATTCCAGATAGTGGAACTTGCTTGCTTCGGTATTTTAAACAACAGACGGTGTGTCATTGTTGGGCAGTGGCGTGCAGTGATCCTCCACAAGAAACATCCTCCACAAGAAACAATTATGCCAGCAGTTTGTGTGTGTGTGTGTGTGTTTTCTTAAACACACAATTCCTTGGAGGATGGTTTATTTGCTTTCCCTTATTTGCAATTAATGGAACAAGGGGTATATCCCTGTCGAGGCAACATCACCAAGGTTGCTTACAGTCAAATTATATTAATTTGAAGCCAAAGCTAACATTCAGATGTTTGCTTTTCAAAAGCAACCGTTTATAAGAAAGAAAGAAGAAAGGGAGAGAAGGAAAAAAGAGAGAGAGAGAGAGAGAAATGTCCCTTGAAGCTGGGTTACAGATCTCCTTTTCAAAGTTGCTTCTAAGGTGCGTTAAATTTAGGGACGTGCATAATTTATTTATTTTTTTAAAGGCCTTTTTTTAAAAAAAAAATCATCTGGGTTTGAAGAAATGGAATTTGGAGCTTCAGATAAATATATCTGAAGCAGCCATCCAATCTTTCCTCTGTGCAGTGAATACAGGTGTAGTATTCACTGCACAGTAGACTTATAATGCTTATTCCAACTCATAAAATAGTTCTATGGTCTTGGGGAGATGGGTTCGAAAGAGCAGTGCAGCAGCTTGGAAACTGAAAGTGCATTCCATAAATAGTTTTTCAAAGATAGTAACTAGGTGACGGAAGTTTCTGCAGCACAAAATTCTAATTGGATAGTATGATGGATGACTCTTGGCTATGGATGTGTCCCATTGGAGAATATGAATTATGATACACCCAGGGGGTGGGGGAAAACCAGGGTCAAGGGAGACAATGAATGATGTGCCTCAGAGTTGGCCACACCCAGGCAGTGCCGGCATGTTAACTCCCAATAAATCCTTTTGAAGTTTTGGAAGTTTGGCTTGTGACTCATGATTTAATTGGGGTAACTGCCGGAATCCTGACAGGTTCATTTAATGACCGTTTGAAATTATAACGGCATTGCAAAAGTGACTTACAAAACAGTGTTGTTGTTTTTTACATTTGTGACCATTGCAGCATCCCCACAGTCACATGATCAAAACTGAGATGCTTGGCAACCGACTCGTATTTATGACGATTGCAGTGTCCTGGGAGTCGTGATTAGCAAAAGTCAAGGGCGAAACCAGATTCACTTAACAACTGTGTTATTCCCTTAACAACTGCAGTGATTCACTTAACCACTGCGGCCAGGGAGGTCATAAAATGGGGACAAATCTCACAACAACGGTCTTGCTTAGCGGCGGGAAGTTTGGGCAGAGTTGTGGAAAGAAACATGTGTTTGTTCCCCTTAATGGTGAACTGGATCACTTAGTGACAAGCTGCCGTTTGAGAGCTTATACGAAAAGCAGATTTTTTCTCCAAGTAATAAATACTATCCTTAATTGGATAATGACCTAGATATTAACATGAATAATGACCTAGATATGAACAAGTAGAACACTTATTCCTTTTATCCTGAACCAATGCATTCCAAAATGGTTAACCTATACCTTATATCTAACTTCTGGAATTCCTCATACCTTACAAAATCAACCACATAATTTCCTTAATACACGTAGCATACTATTATGTGCAGAGGTGGTAGTCAGCCAGTTCTGACCAGTTCTGGAGAACCGGTAGCAGAAATTTTGAGTTGTTTGGAGAACCAGCAAACCCCACCTCTGACTGGCCCTGCTAACCCCATCTCTTCTCTGCCTCCCATTGAGTCCCACCTGATTGGCTGGGTCTTCTTTGGTTGCCCTGCACAGGAGAACTGTTGTGGTTAGCTGGCAGCAGGGGAAGACGGCTGAGGAGAGTGAGGACTTAGATGGCAGGCCGGGACCATTAGGGGCTGCTGCCTTCAGAGATAGTGGGGGCTGGCAGCAGTGATGAGGTTCCCGAGGAGCCTGTGCCAAGTGCGCGTGAGAGCAGGGCTGCTCGCAGGAAAGAGCAAGTGCAGCAGCACGGGTGACTCGGGAGTAAGGCTGCAAAGTAATGGCCCCTCCTTCAAGAAGATAAATCCAGCTGTGAATCGGACGTTCTTTGCAGGAAGCAAAGACGTTTTGAAACTCGAGCCTCATTGACATTGCAGTATCTTAGTTGGTATTTGAAGACTTCTTGTGTTGTGAAATATTTCTAGGTAACCTTATCTGTTATTCTTGGCAGCCTCGCACAGTTTTGGAGGAGGCTTGTGCTTATCAAAGTTAATTAGTTTGCAGCAGCCTTTGAACCGGGGATTCGTAAGAAGCATTAAAAGGTTTCTGTTCCCTTTGGTTCATGTTTGTTTGATTGGAAAAGGGTTTGGGTCAGAACAAGAACGGAGCTGGAAAGCAGGTTAGTGGGGTGGGGAGGGAATGGGGATTTTGCAGTATCCTTCCCTACCACACCCACCAAGCCATGCCCACAGAACCGGTAGTAAAAAAATGTTGAATCCCACCAATGATTATGTGCTCCTTTACTATATTTTTACTACTGTTATCCATGTGCTTTATGCCTTCCTGTACTAAACAAGTACAGGAAATCCTTGACGTACGATCACAATCGGGCCCAAATTTTTTGTTGCTAAGCAAGATAGCTAAATGGGAAATTAAACGTGAAGCCGAGCAGTTGTCCCAAAGGTGTTTTTTTTTTTTCAAGAGGCAACTGGGCTTCTTTGTTTTTCCTTGAAGTCGTTTCGCTTCTCACCCAAGAAGCTTCTTCAGTTCTGATGGAATGGTGGAGGATGGAAGGATTTATATTCCTTGCAGTTATCTGTTCGTTAGTACTACTTCTGAGAGTTGTTGAGGCCACTTGGAGGTTTATCTGTGCCCTCAGGGTCACCTGAATAGTGCAAATGGGTGTGGAAGCTTCTTGGAAGTGCTAAAGGCATAACACTGGATGACTGGGAATCTCCATAGACAAGTCTGGCAGTTGTGTAAGGACAATGAGGTTCATATAACATGTTAAACCTGGGTAAATGAAACACAATGGTGGTTTCACTAATGCTTCTTGGGTGAGAAGCGAAATGTCTTCCAAAAAACCCAAGAAAATCCAGTTGCTTCTTGAAATAGCACTGTTGGGACAACCATGTCCTGGATGATGGAGAATCTCCATAGTGGTGTTCACCTAACACAGGGGTGTCAAACTCAAGGCCCACGGGCCAAATTCAGCCCATATGGCTCACCGGGCGCTGCCCTACAAACAGGAAAGGACCAGCCCATGGTGCCTCTGTGAGAGGGCTAGCAAAGCAAACTGAAAAAAAAGGGGGGAGAAATGTTTCCCCTTTTGCATTTGAGAATCCAAGAAGGGACAGGAAAGGAGGAAAGGGAAAGAGGAAAGACAAAGAAAAAGAAGGGAAGATGGAAAAAGAGGAAGGACGGAAAGATAAGGAAAGGGGGGAAGGAAGAAGAAAGGAGAAGGAAGAAGGAAGGAAGGAAGGAAGGAAGGAAGGAAGGAAGGAAGGAAGGAAGGAAGGAAGGAAGGAAGGTTATAATGAGAAGGAGGGAAGATCTGAGGGGAAGTCCTGCCTTAGTACTTGGCCACCATAGGTGCCCCCGACTTGAGTGATGTTGAGCTGGCCACGCCCACCCTGGCCCTGGTGCAGCCCTCAATGAAATCCAGTTTGGCACCCCTGACTGTTCTGACCCAAAACTTGTTCCAAGGAAACAAACACAGAACAGAGGTAACAGCAAAACCTTTTAACAATTCTTTACAAATTCCGTTCCTTCCCGGTGAAAAGGCTGTTTCAGACTAATTGTCTCTGATAAGAACGAGCCAAGGTGGTGCAAGGCTGCCAAGAACACTAGATAAAGTTGCAAAGAAATATTTCAAACACAAAGAGTCTCCAAACACAAACTAAGGAAGTCTGAACATCCACAAGGCTTGAGTGCAAAAACTTCTTTGCTTCCTGCAAAGAACTCCGGCTTCTCAGCTGGCTTTTTTCTCTGAAGGGAGGGGCCATTACCTTGCAGCCTTACTCTCGAGTCGCCCATGCTGCTGCAGCTGCTCTTTCCTACGAGCAGCCCTGCGCACACACGCACTGTGCACAGGCTCCTCAGGAACCTCTTCCTCACTGCTGCCAGCCTCCACAATCTCCGAAGGCAGCACTCCACCCCCTGATGGTCCTGGCCCCATCCCTGCGTCACACGCAGGCCTGTCATCCGAGTCCTCGCTCTCCATGACCTCAGCCATCTGCACCTGCTGCCAGCAAACCACAACACTGACATAACATATCCAGTTATAATGGCTTTGTTCACACATGGTTGGGTTGCCTACGATATATTGAAACCATATATTTCCATCACCACTTTAAGCTAATGTAGAATTTTGTCCAAACTCCACCCAAATGTATTACTTACAAAGTTCACAGTCTGATATGTTTCCTTTCTTTCAACCAACCTTCTACAGGTCCTGAGTTGCGTGAACCCTGATAATGTCAACACCCCTGAGATTCCAGTGAAGATCTTGAACTGTGACACCATCACCCAAGTGAAGGAGAAGTTCCTTGATGCCATCTTCAAGAACGTGCCTTGTTCTCATCGGCCCAAAGCTGCAGATATGGATCTTGGTGCGTTGAGTATCTTCTTAGATCAATGGAAATGGACAAACCATGGAACCCGTCCATCCATTCATAGAATCCTGTTGTGTTAGGTTGACGTATTCAGGTTCTCCCCTGGGCAGAAAATGCTCCTTCTTGGGCATTTGGGAGGTAATGACATATCGGAAATTAAAACCTCACCTTAGTTAGGAGAGATGGCTAGGTTTGGGGCAGGATGGGAAGGGAAGGGAAGGGAAGGGAAGGGAAGGGAAGGGAAGAGAAGAGAAGAGAAGAGAAGAGAAGAGAAGAGAAGAGAAGAGAAGAGAAGAGAAGAGAAGAGAAGAAAATAACAGAGTTGGAAAGGACCTTGGAGGTCTTCTAGTCCAACCCACTGCCTAGGCAGGAAACCCTACACCACTTCAGACAAATGGTTATCCAACATCTATTTAAAAACTTCCAGTGTTGGAGCATTCGCAACTTCTGGAGGCAAGCAGTTCCACTGGTTAATTCTTCTCACTGTCAGGAAATTCCTCCATAGTTCTAAGTTGTTTCTCTCCTTGATTAGTTTCCACCCGTTGCTTCTTGTCCTGCCCTCAGGTGCTTTGGAGAATAGCTTGACCTCCTTTTTCTTTGGGGCAAGAAAAAAATCATAAAGTTTTGGGACTTACAAATTAAAGTTGAGCGACTTTGGAAAAAGAAATTGTGTGTTATCCCAATTGTAATTGGAGCCCTTGGAGCAATACCTAAAGGGCTGCCTCGCTATTTGGAAATCCTGAATTTGTCAGACTTGAATACCCTGATTCTACAAAAAAAACACCCTATTTGAAACAGCTTATATCCTCCAACGCTACCTGAACAGTTCCTAGGTCCTTGGTTAAGACTCGAGCTGTTGAGCGACCAACCAGCCCCAAAGGCTGTGAATCTTACTAAAGATATAATAATAATAATAATAATAATAATAATAATAATAATAATAATAATAATCTCTATTAACCATTTAAGAGAAAGGGCAGTTGCTAGTATCCATCTGTGTCAATTTGTGTGTCTGTGTGTCTGTCTCTCTCTGTGTGTGTGTGTGTGTGTGTGTGTCTGTCTGTCTGTCTGTCTGTCTCTCTCTCTCTCTCTTTGTCCTTGAAATGTGATCATGTGGAGGAAGGTCAGCCATGTCAATTTATAGGAGGAGCCCGAAGGATGCTGGGCACCGAGACTCACTTTGAGCCCCAGACAATCTGGGGAAAAAAGTTGTTGACTGCTATTTGATCGCTGATGTCATGCAGGAGAGCCAGCGAAATTATCCTCCCTCCTGACAGAAACCTCGCCTGCCTTCTCTCTCCCTCTCCCACCAGAGAGATGCGCTCATCAGGGTGAAGGTGGCATGAAAGGCAAAACTGATCAAAGTTTAACATTTTATATTGCTTCGGTGCAAGCTAGCAGCCGCTTCAGCCATTAAAACTCTTCTTCCACGACATTGACCCCAGAATTCTCTTCAGCTCCAGGCTTATTTTGAACTTCCCGGCAATTATTTTGTGCCAGAAGCCAAATTCAAAGACCATGATCTCTTGGCCCTGTGGTTCCTTTTTTGCCATGTCCACGCCAGGCAAGCTCTGATGTCCCACTCGCCATTGTAGCCATATAACCTAACTCAGTTTCTACAAGCCAAGTGATAGGGCCAAAATGGTGCCTGGACTGGCTTGAGGGGTCCTCAGTGCTCTCTGAGATTTATGCATTTTATTTTATTTATTTAGTTTAGTTTGTCAAGCATGCATGAGAAAACCAGTATAAGTATGAACATAACATATAAACATATAAGTGTAAACGGGTATAAGTATATACATAATAAAAGAGTATGAATAAATGGGAACAGTAGGACAGGGACGGTAGGCATGCTGACATGCTTATGCACGCCCTCTTACAGACCTCTTAGGAATGGGGTCAGGTCCACAGTAGGCAGTTTAAAGTTAAAGTTTTGGGGATTTGAGGATGTAACAACAGAGTCAGGGAGTGAGTTCCAGGCATTGACCACTCTGTTGCTGAAGTCGTATTTTCTGCCATCGAGTTTGGAGTAGTTTTACTTTGAGTTTGTATCCATTGCTTGCCCGTGTGTTATTGTGGTTAAAGCTGAAGTAGTCGCTGACAGGTAGCACATTGTAGCAGACAATTTTGTGGACTAAGCTTAGGTCAGATAGTTCTAAGTTGTCTAATTTCAAGCTTGAAATCTTGAAATTTCAAAAATTTCAAGCCTGGTGCCATAAGGTATTTTTGGCAAGCTGAGGAGTGCAGTACTCTTCTCGTGAAATACCTCTGGACTCGTTCAATTGTGTTGGTGGTTTTCTTGCAAGGCATTTCATTAACCAAACTAGGTTACATCATCAGTGCTAGAAGGATATGCAGTTTAAAGGGTGGAGCAGGAGGAGAGGGAGGAAGAGAAGGAGAACAATCAACCCATGGAACAGAAGTTGACCTCGGAAGTTGTGGAAGTGTCATCACTTGAGGCTTTCAAGAAGAGATTGGACTACCATTTGTCAGAAATGGTGTAGGGTCTCCCACTTGGGCAGGGGGTTGGACTAGATGACCTACAAGGTCCCTTCCAACTCTGATTATCTGTTATCTGAGAAGGGAAAGAAATGAAGGGAAGGAAGAAGGAAGAAGGGAAGAAGAACTGGGGGTTACTTGGTGCTCTCTGAGGTTGGTGATTTTCTTGCAGATGTTTCATTACCCAAACTGGGTTACATCACCAGTGATTCAACAGTCAAACTATTTACTGAAGTGAACTTTCTTTTGCCAGATATTTTTAAACAGAACCTCCTCTATTCAAGATGTTTTCCTTTAATTAGCTACCCAGTCCCCTGCAAAACAGTTTTAAAAGATCTCCTTCCAGTTTGCGACATATTTATCTTTGGGGTTTTACAGACTTCTGAATTTTGGAATGCAGTTTTCCAATTAAAAATGGGACAGGCAGAGGGAGAGAAGTGGTTCCAAGAGAGAGAGAGAGAGAAGGAAAGAGAGAAAGAAAGAGAGATGAAAGAAAGGAAAAAAGACTGAGAAAGAGAGATGAGAAAGAAAGGAAAAGAAAGAAAGAAAGAAAGAAAGAAAGAAAGAAAGAAAGAAAGAAAGAAAGAAAGAAAGAAAGAAAGAAAGAAAGGAGGGAGGGAGAGAAAAAGAAAGAGAAAAAGACTGAGAAAGAGAGATAGTGAGAAAGATAGAGGAAGAGGAATAAAGAGAAAAAATAGAGAAAAAGAAGAGAGAGGAAGAAAGAAAAAAGCAAGGAGGGAGAGAAAAAGAGAAAGAGAGTAAGAAAGAAAAATAAAGAGAAGAGAGAAATAGAGAGAAAAAATAGAGGAAGAGATAAAGGGCAGACTGACTGAGAATAATGCTATTTTCATTCAGCACGGAGTAAGAATTACCTATTCTTGTTGACTCCAGAGCTTTCCTTGCATGATCTCATGCCATTGGCTGAAGCACTGTTACTTTTCAAAAGTCATCAGTCTGACTCTCGGCTCTCACATTTTCTGCCATCCCAGGCAACCTTGCTAAAATCCTCCAGAGAGGATGCGATTCGATCCATTCTGGTCTTACCACACTCTGGCCAAGATGTAAGGAGAAACATGTCAGCCTATATTTTCTCATCACGGTCTGCTGTGCACGGGTGAGCCCTGTTTAGGAGCAGACAGGTAGTCCTCAACGTACCACGGTCACTAAGCCGAGATGTCAGCATTCCAGAAAACTTCCATCCAACAAATAACTCCGAGACAGACATCCTCTCCCAAGGTTCCTTTTATTAGAGTAGTAAACTGGCACATCTGGGAAATCCCGAATATGAAAGGTCCGGATTTCCTTGCAATAAGTAAAAAAATTATAAATCCATCCCCTGCACCCATCATCGCATCACATGCCCCAATCCCCATCCATCCCAACTTGAGATGTCCTCTCAACACAGGTGCAGAGATAACATGACCTTGACGTAGAAAAAGAATGTTGTTATGTCTAACCACATACACTCCAAGAAATTCCCCCCCCCCATTTTCCCAGGTTCAAGAAGGTGGCAGCGTGGAAGCGTCTGGTCTCAATGTGGCTTTCAAAGCTGACACCAGAATTATGGCTGTCAGTCATGCCAGTCATCGCACAACTGACTTGGTTTTTACGAAATGATTTAGAGCGGGGATTGTGGAGCGGTGGTTGTTATAAAACAAACGCTGGGTTCATGAATCAAAGACTGTGGTCATTAAATGAACACGTCATGTGCCAGGGACGTTTTAGCCAAAACCCAGAAATAAATGGTGCATTTTGGCAACATAAACCACAATCATTCATGCAGCTATAATTGTGTGCTGAAAATGCACTCATGTGACTGCTTGAATGGCGCTGGACCTCCAAAAAATTGAATCTGAGAAATAAATATTTTGGGGGAGGGTGTCTGTCAGAGCTTTGAATGTTTGCCAAATGACTGGACGTTAAGCGAGACCACGTGGTATTCGGCTTTGTTGTATATATACAATACACAATACAGAAGCCTGATGATGGCAGATGAGATTCTGCCGAAACGTTGCTACAACTTTAAAAGCACAACTATAATGATGTGGGAAAATACCCGAACAAAGCCGAATGCCATACATGTAAGTACCCGCGAAAACTTAAGAAAACAACGAATCTCCCCTTTGCATCCCTGGGAAGGAGGAAATGTTGGCCTGTTAACAAGTTAATCTAGGATTATGTTCGCTCGTGCCACCCAAACAGAAGGAACGTAGCCAGGGTGGGATTCAGCCGGTTTGTCCTGGTTCAGGCAAACTGGATGTTTAATTTACATCTGGTTCGCCGAACTGGTAGTTGAACTGACCAGCTTGCCCCTCCCACCTTGCCCTCCCCCTCCCAGGAGTCTCCACACAGCCTGTTTTGGATGCAGGTGAGTACAGAGTTTGCGTGGAGGCTCTGGAAGGGTGAAAACTGGGCCGAACCGGAAGTTCCAGGTTCGCCAGCAGCAGGTGCAGATGGCTGAGGTCTCAGAGAGGGAGGACTCAGATGAGGGGCCTGCGTGTGATGCAGGCATGGGGCCAGGACCATCAGGGAGTGGAGTGCTGCCTTCGGAGATTGTGGAGGCTGGCAGCAGTGAGGAAGAGGACCCCGAGGAGCCTGTGCCCAGTGCGTGTGTGCGCAGGGCTGCTCGAAGGAAAGAGCAGCTGCAGCAGCACAGGCGACTTGGGAGTAAGGCTAATGCCTCCTCCCTAAAGGGATAAAAGCTAGCCCTCAGAGGTGGGCTTCTTTGCAGGAAGCAAAGAAGTTCTTGCACTTCAAGCCTTGTGGAAGTTCAGACTATCCTGGTTTGTGTTTGGAGACTCTTTGTGTTGGAAATATTTCTTAGTCACTTTATCTAGTGTTCCTGGCAGCCTTGCACCACCTTGGCAAGGCTCGTTCTGATCAGACAATAAGTTTGAAACAGCCTTTTAACCGGGAAGGAACGGAATTCGTAAAGAATCATTACAAGGTTTTGCCGTTATCTCGGTTTCGTGTTTGTTTCCTTGGAACAAGGTTTGGGTCAGAACACCGGCTTCCGGAGCCTTGGGGGAGGCCATTTTCACCCTCCCAGAGGACCGGGGGAAGCCTCTGGACTCCGGGGAAGGCGAAAAATGGCCCTCTCGGAAGTTCCAGGAGGCCACGCCCACCATGGCCACGCCCACCCAGCAACCGGGCAGAGAACCGGATTTTTGAATCCCACCCCTGAATGTAGCTTATCACGGCTGTTTGTTTGCGTAGAGCAGGGGTCCCCAACCACCGGGCCCCGGACCGGTAGCAGTCCGTGGAACATTTTCTACCGGGCCGCCAGTTTGCTGGGCGCTGCCATCTTGTTTTGATGAGAAAGTGCTTCTGGTGAGCTTTTCCGGTTGGAAAGCGGCGTTTGGGTCCTGAAGGAATCCTCGCACCTTAGTTTCATCGAAGGGGGGGCGCAGCTTCGAACAAAACTAAGGCGCGAGGATTCTTTCAGCACCCAAGGCAAGGCGAGCCGAGCGACCGTCCCGAAGCCCATCGACAAAGGTACAAAGGAGGAGTTGAAGGTGGCGGGGAGAAGCGGGGGACGGCTGGCTGGCCAGTCGCTCGGCTCACCTTGCCATGCGTGCTGATGCCGGTACCGGGCCGCGGATCATTTTGTGATGCCGGTACTGGGCCGTGGCACAAAAAAGGTTGGGAGCCACTGGCGTAGAGGAAACACCATGTCACGATTTCATTGTCCTTTTCGCTACACCGCTTGCAGCCCGTGGGTTCATTTCAAGCAGCCGCACAGTCAGAAGGCCGAGGGGGATGTTTGCCTTCTGTCCTTTCTCCATCTTCTTCCAGAGAAAGACGCTGGGGTAGCCTCTCCCCCCCCCCCCTCCCACTTTCCCTTCAGCAGTGAAGCTTCCCCTCCAATTGGCAACGTTGATTACCAGCTGGCTCCAAAGTGGGAACGGAAAGCGAAACACCCATTTTGCAAACGCATTGTAATGAAGTGCTGGAGAAGCAGCTAAGAGCAAAAAAAGAAACTTCCTTGCATATTACACTGACGGGACCCACGCTTCTAGAAGAGGTGGTGTTGAACGGCTTCCCTTCAGACGTGGTGGGTCCTTCCCATCACTGGAGGTTTTCAAAGAAGAGATTGGGCAGCCGTTTGTCTGGCGTGGTGTAGAGTCTCCGGCTTCAGCAGGGGGTTAGACTAGAAGACCTTGACAGAACCCTGGGCCCTCTCTAACAAAATGAAACCCAATGGAGAGAAAATTAAACTCTTACACTTAGGCAAGAAAAACCAAAAGGACACATATAGACTGGGTGAAACCAGGCTCAATAGCAGTAACTGGGAGAGGGATCTTGGAGTCTTAGTGGACAACCAACTAAATAGGAGCCAGCCGTGTGCAGCAGCCGCCAAAAAAGCTAATGCAATCCTAGGTTGCAATACAATCGAGATCAAAGGAAGTACTAATACCCACTCTATAAAGCCTTAGGAAGACCATGTCTAGAGTACTGCATCCAGTTTTGTTTACCACACTATTAAAAAGAGGTTGAGATTCTAGAAAAAGTGCAGAGAAGAGCAACCAGGATGATGAGGGGACTGGAGACTAAAACATACGATGAATGGTTGCAGGAACTGGGCCTGGCTAGTCTAGTGAAGAGAAGGACCAGGAGAGACAGGATAGCAGTCTTCCAATAGTTGAGGGGCTGCCACAGAGAGAGGAAGGGGTCAAGCTATTTTCTAAAGTACCCAAAGGCCAGACAAGGAATAATGGATGGAAACTGAACAAGGAGAGAGCCAACCTGGAAATAAGAAGAAATTTTCTGACAATGAGAACAATCAATACATGGAACAGAAGTTGCCTTCAGAAGTGGTGGAAGCTTCATCACTGGAGGCATTCAAGAAGAAACTGGACTGCCATCCATCAGAAATAGTGTAGGATCTCCTGCTTGGGCGGCGGGTTGGACTAGATGACCTACAAGGTCCCTTCCCACTCTGTTAATCTGTTTACCTGCAGAGGCCACGTTGCTGTTCTCCCCAAAAACATTTCCATTCACTCGCAGGCATGACATGCGTTTCTCTTTCCTTGCAGAATGGCGGCAGACTAACGGGATCAGAATGATCCTTCAGGATGAAGATCTGACCACCAAGATTGAGAACGACTGGAAGAGGCTGAATACCCTTGCCCATTATCAGGTGTGTAAATCAGCTTTGGTTTTGTTGGAAGAAAAATCCATCTGGTTCAGTGCCCAGCTGGCATAAAGGCACTGGAGATAAAATGGAGGCTGGAGGCTGATGGGAAATTCCCTTTTATTGATGAAGCAGAACCACCCACCACATGTGATTCAGGGGCAGCTGACAAAATGGATTTTAGAGCGGGTGGGTTTTTATACCTTCTGGATTCCTAGGGGGGGTCATGTAGGGGTCATAGCTGGCTCTATAGGCAAAAGAGGGAATGAAAATCAGGTCTGCCACACAGGCGTGCGCGCCTCCTGCTGGCCCGTTGGTCTTCGGGTCTCTGCATGCTCAGGGACAGGGCGCATGCATGGGGAATGTGTGTGCTTATGTGGGGCTGGAGTACTTTGCGGGGACAGGGGGCATGCATGGGGGTGGGGCACATTCACAGGGGATGTGCACCCATTGCTTTTTTGGGGGTGTGCACGCACGCTTTGGGCGCTTGGTGCCGAAAAGGTTAGCCATCACTGTCCTAGGTGTTTGTCTGAGCTAATTTTGTCAACCTTTGATTGTGTTGCTTATCTGGAGCCTCTGTCTGGCCCAGTCTTTCTGAATGGATGACCAAATATGCCTTTCTAAAAGCTGGCTTCCTCAGTTTCTGCTTGGGGCAGGGAGAATGGGGCTGCTTTCTGCCTCCTTTAAGATGTTTCCCCATTTCTTCTTTCGAGGAAATATTCGACCCTGCTTTTTTTAACGTTTCCCAAAATATTTCATTCTTCGAGGTAGGGGGGGCTTCCTACAGTTTGATTAACCCCGATGGTCTTCTGTGGTCCATCTGTACGTCCACTCATAAAATATGTCTCTGGTCTTTTTAGAGTTGCCAACAGAAAGGGAGGGGGAGCCGTGCGACCGCTGGCAAACCGAAAGGGCATCCCGTAAATGTTTTCAAAGATAGTAGCAAGATGACTGAAGTTTCTGCCAGTGCAAAATTCTAGCTAGAGAGAATGATTGATGACTCTGGGCTATGGGTGTGTCCCATTGGAGAATGTGAATTACGACACACCCAGCGGGTTGGGGGGGGAAAACCAGGGTCAAGAGTAACAACGAATGATATGTCTCCGAGTCGGCTACACCCAGGCAATGCCAGACATGTTCACTCCCCTTTCGAAGTTTGGCTAGAGATTCGTGATTTAAATGGGGTTAAGCGTCAGAATCCTGAGGCTGTAACGTTGGAGACCCCAAGTGTGGAGATCAGTTCTGGGTTGATTTAGCTGGCAATTCTGTTCACAGGTTGGCCCGCCAAAGGTACCTAAAGGACTCACCAATGGGACATCAGGCCAGCCTTATAGGTAGTAGTCCTTGATTTGTGACCTCCATTGAGCCAAAATTTCATGGCTAAGTCAGACAGCTGTTAAATGAGTTTTGTCCCATTTTACAAACTTTCTTGCCACGGTTGCTAAGTGCTGCAGCTGTTTAACTTAGTAACACAATTGTGAAGTGACCATCCAAAGTTACAGCAATCCTGGAAAAAAAGGGACTTACGTCTAGTTTTTCAAACTTACAACCATAACATCTCAAGAAGGAGAGAAAATGGCACCACCAGCCTAGTGCCCTCCTCTGCCAACGCCACCAAATTTAGGACCCAAACAAAACCTTGAGTAGACATTCTGGAGCATCCAGTTGAGATGACCCTTAGAATAAGGCAGGTTGGGGTGTCATTTCCAACCAAAACTACGTCCTGATCTTACCTGTGTAGACCACAGAATAATAGAAGTTGGAAGAGACCTCAGAGGTCATCTAGTCCAACCCCTGCTTGAGCAGGAGACCCTACACCATTTCTGACAGATGGCAGTCCAGTCTCTTCTTGAAAGCCTCCAGTGATGGAGCACCCACAACTTCTGAAGGCAACTTCTGTTCCACTGGTTAATTGTCCTCACTGTTAGGCAGTTTCGGAATGAAAAAAGTAAAGTCTTACACTTAGACAAGAAAACCCAAAAGAAAACATACAGCAGTCTTCCACTATTTGAGGGGCTGTCACAGAGAGGGTCAAGCTATTTTCCAAAGCACAAGAAAGAAAAAGAAAGAAAGAAAGAAAGAAAGGAAGAAAGAAAGGAAGGAAGGAAGGAAGGAAGGAAGGAAGGAAGGAAGGAAGGAAGGAAGGAAGAAAGAAAGAAAGAAAGAAAGAAAGAAAGAAAGAAAGAAAGAAAGAAAGAAAGAAAGGAGAGAGAGATGGAAAGAAAGAAAGGAAGGAAGGAAAGAAAGAAAGGAAGGAAGGAAAGAAAGAAAGAAAGAAAGAAAGAAGAAAGAAAGAAAGAAAGAAAGAAAGAAAGAAAGAAAGAAAGAAAGAAAGAAAGAAAGAAAGAAAGAAAGGAGAGAGAGATGGAAAGAAAGAAAGGAAGGAAGGAAAGAAAGAAAGGAAGGAAGGAAAGAAAGAAAGAAAGAAAGAAAGAAGAAAGAAAGAAAGAAAGAAAGAAAGAAAGAAAGAAAGAAAGAAAGAAAGAAAGAAAGAAAGAAAGGAGAGAGAGATGGAAAGAAAGAAAGGAAGGAAGGAAGGAAGGAAGGAAAGAAAGAAAGAAAGAAAGAAAGAAAGAAAGAAAGAAAGAAAGAAAGAAAGAAAGAAAGAAAGAAAGAAAGAAAAGATAGAAAGACATCTGAGCAAACCATGGATGGACAGAAGACATGTCTAGTTTAAGGAAAAGAAGGACATAATAGCAGTCTTCCAATATCTCAGGGCTTGCCACAAAGAAGAGATGTAAAAAAGATGTTGAGACTCTGGAAAAAGTGCAGAGAAGAGCAACAAAGAGGATTAGGGGACTAAAACATACAATAAATGGTTGCAGGAACTGGGCCTGGCTAGTCTAGTGAAGAGAAGGACCAGGGGAGACAGGAGAGCGGTCTTCCAATGTTTGAGGGGCTGCCACAGGGAGGAGGAGGAGGGGGTCAAGCTATTTTCCAAAGCACCCAAAGGCCAGACAAGGAATAATGGATGGAAACCGAACAAGGAGAGATTCAACCTGGAAATAAGGAGAAACTTTCTGACAGTGAGAACAATCAACCCATGAAACAGAAGTTGCCCTCAAAAGTTCTGGGAGCTTCATCACTGGAGACTTTCAAGAAGAGACTGGACTGCCAACTGTCAGAAATGATATAGGGTCTCCTGCCTGGGTGGGGGGTTGGACTAGATGACCTACAAGGTCCCTTTCAACTCTGTTAATCTAATCTAGTCTAGTGCTAAGTCGCTTCTCTGCTTGGTTGGTTTCCATCCATTGTTTCTCGTCTTGCCTATTGGCACTTTGGAGAATAGCTTGACCCTCCCTCATCTCTGCAGGATGTCTTTGAGTGACGTCCACCAGGTCATTAAAGGACTTATTGACCATCCCTGGTTTGCATAAAGATGAGAGAAGATGAACAGCCAGATGTGAAAAGCCACTCTTGGCTTCAAGGAGAGCTGGTTAATTAGCATCCTCGCATGGCTTTGAAGATGAAAGTACTCGGTGATAAGTGCTAATTATGGTTAAGGCTGATGGCAAGAGGGCCCTTCCCTTGCATGTTCAATAAAGGTGTGCCAGACGCAGAGCCTCTTGTCAATAGCTGAATATTCAACTTTGTTTCATTTTTCTCTGGGAGACCATGAGGCTATCCAGCCCAATCCAAAGTTGTGATGACCCGGGGCGTGGCACAAAAATAACGAAGTCACCAAAGTAGATAAATTCCCTTTAATGTCTCCAACTTGGCCCACAATGTCCAATTATCCTCGGCGGGGAGATCAAACTCTTTTAAAAACAGTCCACGAAGGGAAGAAATGCAGTCTGAACCCAAAATACAGATAAAGTAGAAATTAAAAAAAAAACAACCAACACAAACCACGCTGAAGTAATTGACACGACAGACCAGGATAATAACTTGCAGACTTCCAAAAGATAACGAGGCACACACAGTGTGGAGGATGCCAAAACCCCGGATAAGACTCGACAAAGATAATGCATGTTTTGCTTCCAGCAACTTTGCCATGCGCAATCTGCCCTTTTAAACAGTCTTCTCAGCTGCAGCCCATGAAGGTGATCAGGGCCCTTTTCTCCCCCATAAACCATGTTGCTCCCTATCCATTCCTCCCTGCGTGCCCTAGGATGAAGAGTGGGTGAGCCTGGGTCTTCCTCTGAATGCCCAGCCAGCCTGTGCCCTTCCCCAGTTTCCTCCACAGCCACCGGAGCCACACTCCCACTCCCTGTCAGCTGTTCCGCCTCTCCCTCAGGATCAGATTCCAACTGGGGCATGACACAAAGGTGTCATGTTGCAGGTTCTTGTAGCCATCCATTTCGGAGATTTCCCCCCCGCCCCTCGAGTGATCTTTTCTCAAAAGGGTGGGAGATGAACCACATCAGCTCGTGGCCAACCCTTCTTCTCTGCTTTCTTGACTCGTCTCTGGAGTTGAATATGAAACCGTTCGACATTAGAGGGCCTTGAGTTTGCTTGCTTTCTTGCAGGCGTTTCATTACCCAAACTAGGTACCCGGGGTGGGCTGCTGGGGGCTCGCAGGGGTTCAGGAGAGCCCCTAGCTAAGATTCTCTGCAGTTCCCAGAACCCCCAAATCCCACCCCTGGCTGGCCCTGCCCTGCCCTGCCCTCCCCTCCCCGGAGTCCCAACGTAGCCCTGGATGCAGTTAAGTGCAGGGTGCGAGCAGAGGCTCAGGGAGGGCGAAAAACGGGCCTCCTGGGAGTTTGGGAAGGCCGGAAATGGGCCCGTTTCCAACTTCCGGAGCCCAGGGAGGCCATTTTCGCCTTCCTGGAGGCTCCCAAAAAGCCTCCGGAATTTAGGGAGGGCAACCCGCTCCACCATGGAGGCCGATTAGGCCAAACCCACCCAGCAACCAGGCAGAGAACCCGTTGCTAAAGTTTTTGAAGGCCACTCCTGATTAGGAAACATGACCAGCTGTTGTGGAGGAAGCAATGGGCCAGTTGACTGTTATTGTTCTTACTTGCAAGGAGAAGGTGGAGGAGGAAGAGAAAGAGGAGGAGGCAGGAGAGGAGAAGGAAAGGAAGAGGAGGAAAGGAGGAGGAGGAAGAGGGGAAGAGGAAAGGAGGTGGAAG